AAAGTTTTGTGGCCAAACTTTAAATATTAAAAGGTTCCAAAAAAGTGTAAAAATATTAATTGCAAGGACCAAAAATGTCAAAATGGGTAAAGAATAATGAACAAAGTTGCCAAAAAACATCCAAATTTAGTATTTCTAACTTCCAACAATAATACAGGGACCAATTCTGCCAAAAAAATGGGAAGTTGAATGGAACATAAACAAAAGGATATGAATAAATTAATTAAAGAAGTACATGGACCGGATATGTAAATCAAGGGACCAAACCTGGACAAAATATGCCAACTTCACTATTCATTTCTTCCACAACTTTAATATATATATAATAATAATAATTAGAATTCAAAATTTTATAAAATCATAGAGGAAATCAAATATCTCCTCCTGTTTATACTACTATCAACATTTGTTTCATTTTCATGAATTAACCATCATCATGCACTTTACCTTTTCACATAATACTTTATATTTTATAAAGATACACTTTATTATTTTTTTTTTATAAATTCACAATTTTAAACCGAAAGTAGGATTTTCAAGGATTTGCGGGCCGATATATAATTTCAACCACTCTTAATCAGTTTAATATTTTTAACTATCGGTTTCGGATCTGTCCAATGCTAGTTTCAATATTAATAGGGGTGAACATGGATAGTGGGTACCCGCTTTTGGAACTGAAATTGTATCGGAACCGTCGATTTTAGAACTGGAGATTACTGGTTCCGGTTCTGGTTCCTAAAAGTGGCGCCAAGGATCGGTTCCAGTTTCGATTTTCATTTTTTAGGAACCGTTACCCGACGGGTAACTGTCGAAACCGATTCCAAAAGATTAAAATTTAAAAATACTTAATACTTAAATAAATTGGTCGTAACAACGTTGACGACTAAGACATTTGTTGAGATTGTCTAATTGGATCTTGGAGGTAACATGCTAATAAGTAATATTAGCAATTTTTTTTTTCAAAACAAATGGTCTGATGTGAATGTGAATGCATGACTATAAAACAATTTGAACATATGTAATGATAATATCTTCAAAAAAGATCTGATGTTAAATAATATTAAAAAGTTTATGGTAAGAACATGAACTTTGGTTTATAACTTATATTTAGCAACTTGGATTATTTTTAAAATGATTATTTTTTTGTCGTTTGTAACTTGTATCGTAATGAACTAATTATAGTATTTATTTTTTGTTTCAATGGCTAAAAATTATTTTGTATTAAAGAAACTAAAAACTGACATAACCAGGTTACCCGGTCCCGAAACTGGTTCTGAAAATTTAAGAACCGTCTAGATTGGTTCTGGTTCCGGTTCCCGTTCTAACTTCACAAGAACCGCCGGTTCCAATTCCGGTTCCGGTTCTGACGAAATGAGGCGGGTACCTGACTATGCTCATCCCCAAATATTAGACCATTTTGTCCATCTCCATACACAATAAAGAAAAATAGTAAGGTCCCGTTTGATAGTTTCTGTCTGAAAAAGTGCTGTCTGGGAAAGTTTTTTGACTGGGAAAAAAACCATGTTGTTTGATTGTACATCTGATTGACTGTGCTGAATGATGAAAAAAAGTAATAATTCAATAAAAAATAAATTTAAAAAAAGTTACTTAAAAAAATTAATAATCCAATAAAGAAAGAAAGATGCGGGATTTGGTGTATAATTGTCTTTCCAGCCCATTCGGCCAGAAAGATATGATTTTGGGGCTTTCTGGGAAAGACATATCTTACCGGGAAAGACCCTTTCTTTTGTGCAAATCAAATAGTCTTTCCGGTCCATTCAGCCAGAAATATCTGTTTGGACCTGGAAATATGCGTATCAAACGGGGCCTAAGTTTAATCAATTTATATTTTAAAAAAACATATTTTTAAAATCATGGATTCAAACCATGTTATAAGTTTATAATTTTTACAAGAAAGTTGAATAAATAAAATATAAACGAGGTTATGATTGTGTTTTCTAGTTTTTGTTTAGGAGAAAAAAAAGGAAGGTCAATAGAGCGAATAAAGAAAAATCATGTTCTAAAGTTTATCTTATGCTGTGATATAAATCATCTTTTTCTTTGCTCTTTAAAAGGGCAGAATGTGAGGAAGATGTTCATCATCTTCTATTCATGAATTTTTCTTTCACTTTTGGAAAGATAATGACAACTCTATAATAATAAGATGGACATAATTATAAGTTATGAAATTCCATTTATTTTGCGTGAACCGATTAACATAAAAATAATCGATTTCTCTTCGATTTATTTTCACTTGAAAACACGAATATAATTAACAATATTTCTTCGGTTCCCTAAAAAAAACAAGAAGAAGAATATTACTCTGATAACCAAATTTTTAATTGACTATAAAATTATAATCAAAATAATGCTCCAAAAGAAAAGTTTCTATTTGTCCATGAATAAAATATGAAAAAGATAAAATAAAATTTATCGTGATGGGCTCGCGTTGTTGTTATTGTGGGAAGCACAATTGGAATTAGAATCCAAGTCCAACACACACACACACAGAGTCGTAGTCATCACATAACAATTAAGAATACATAACAAGCGGCGGGATACCAGCATGCAATTGCAATTCTAATTTCATTTGTAAATCGTTACTTTCCTGTACGTGCGGCGATCCTATAGGCCCGTTTTCTCTCTCTAAATCTCTCCTCCGTTCCTCCGTCACGGTGAAACGTACAACACCTTGAACTCGCCGCCGCCGCCGTCTTCATCACCGTCATCGCCATTTCAAAACTTTCCTTTTTATTCACTCATATATACGTCACGATTTCTCATCGCTTGATTTTGCAGTTATTGATATACGATCAATAATGCCCCCAAAGTCAAATCCTGTGAGCCTTTCCGTTCTTCTACGTAAAATTGATCTCTCACTCCTCATTCTTCTTTAGTCTTCTCGACGTTTACGCGTCTGGATAATTTTTTTTTCCGTTTTTGAAAGTATTGTAGTATTTCGATTCGACGATCTCCTGAGAGCTGTATCACCGTGGTGTTTGACGTTCAATAGGACTTTTTTATATAATAATTATTTGATTAGCGGTTGGTTGGTTCAAATGGAGAAGAAGAAGTATCCAGTCGGAGCAGAGCACTATGAGCTGTATGAGGAAATAGGGCAAGGTGTCAGTGCCTCGGTTTTTCGAGCCATGTGCATCCCGAACAAGGAGATTGTTGCAGTTAAGGTGCTTGATTTTGAACGTAGCAACAGCGATTTGGTAAATTCAGTTCCTTCGTTTTTATATTCTGTTTTGCACGATACATATTGTTCTTCTGATGATTTCTTCTTATATTTAGTCCAATGAGCCTAAAATCTGATTTAGACGATCTGACAGTAGAATCAAATTCCATTTAACGGAGTTGCTAGTCGTTACCTAGTTTTCTTTGGCATACAGATGGTCGTGATTAGCTGAATTGGACTCTGCAGTAATATCTGCAAGACCACCTTGATGAGTTTGAGGGTTTGTAGATTAGGCTTATGAATTTAGTGTATCCCTCTCTGGCTTCTATCACTAAGTTATTGAGAGATTACTTTTGATAGTTATTTAAAAGATATACTAAAATTCTGATTTTCGTTTTGAACTTTAGTTGAATTATCTTTTACCATGGCAATCAAAATACATGCTTCAGGAAGTTATTTATCTTCATTTTATGATCAATGAGAATACTTTATGGAGAATTGATAGGCTAGGAATTTCGATTATTGAGGGGGAGAGAGTTTGAAACTCATAGCCTACAGTGTTTTCCCCCCCTGGTGGTTCTGTTATTTTATTCTAATTTGTCAAAATTGTAACATGGTTGGATGTCACTACTAGTTTAGAAATACATTTTACAATCCTACTAACTGAAAACATGATTCTACAAATAATTTTTAAAACATACTTCGGTTGGCTCATGATTTGATGATATAAAATAACAGAAAAAGGAGAAATTCCAACATAAACAACAAAGAAGAAGCCCTGTTGGTAAGTGCATACCTACATTGCTCAAGTGTCATGGACCTCTAAATTTGCTTTAACTGATATTTGATGAACTCTTGATTGCACCTTAAATTTGTAGCAAATTGGCCTATGACTTTTGAGGCACCTAATTTATGTTTAACTGATAAACTATATTTGTTTCATTGCTCATTTGTTAATATCTTGTCAGAACAATATATCACGTGAAGCTCAGACAATGATCCTGGTTGATCATCCAAATGTTCTTAAATCACATTGTTCCTTTGTAAATGACCATAACCTATGGGTGGTCATGCCTTTCATGCCTGGTGGATCCTGCCTCCATATACTGAAGTCTTGCCATCCTGAGGGTTTTGAGGAAGTTGTTATTGCAACTATACTGCGTGAGACATTAAAGGCATTGGAGTATCTTCACCATCATGGCCACATTCATCGAGATGTTAAAGTGAGTTTCTATTTCACCTTAATCATATCTATTAGCTGGTTTTGTAATTAATTTTCTTTTGTGGGTGATTCTTTTGTTGTATTAACAGGCTGGAAACATTCTGATTTGTGATACTGGTGCAATCAAGCTGGGAGATCTTGGTGTTTCTGCTTGCTTATTTGATTCTGGTGATAGACAACGATTAAGGAACACATTTGTTGGGACACCTTGCTGGTATTTTTTAAAACTTGCATAAATTTTATATCATGAGTTGCATTGTTCATATTTGACCCGACATCATTAGGAACAATGGAGGCTTAATATACTTACTATGGTTTTATATGTTTTTTAGGATGGCACCTGAGGTTATGGAACAATTGCATGGCTATGACTTCAAGTAAGTTGATTTCATCTATTTTCATATATTATCTAGTAAGATAAGATACAAAAGTACATTGAAGGTTTCCCTTCTGTTATCAAGGTCAAAGTAGTGGAAAAGTTGATTTTTATATATGATTGCAGGGCTGATATCTGGTCGTTTGGTATAACGGCTCTTGAGCTTGCTCATGGGCATGCTCCTTTCTCAAAATATCCCCCAATGAAGGTGCATCCATCTTGCATTTTCATATCTTTTTACCTTTTTATGCCATTGATTGGGACTTGCCAAGTCAGGTTATTCTAAAATTAGGCTGTGTTTTACCAAACTGAACTGGACAAACTTTCGAGGGCTATTTTCGGATGATGAGGATGAAGAGGGTACTCATGTCTTTTTCACAAATGAGAGATTGATAGCTAGTCTCTAACCCACCATGTTCCACTTTAGGTTGGATAAAAAATTGCAATTTTTGTCCCATTGACACCAGTCCCAGTCCAAAACACAATACAACCTGTTCTGTTTTGTCTTGTGTAACAATTGGGGCCTACATAATCATAACTTTAAATACCTGTAACATGACAGGTTTTGCTCATGACCTTGCAAAATGCACCTCCTGGTCTTGATTATGAGAGGGACAAAAAGTTTTCTAAGGTAATTTAATTTGTTTTTTCTTTACCACTATATCATCACCTCATGATTCATCTCATACTTGTGTTGTCTTTTCTCTGTCTGAAGTCTTTTAAGCAGATGATTGCGAGTTGTCTTGTTAAAGATCCTTCAAAACGTCCTTCTGCAAAGAAGCTTCTGAAGCATTCTTTTTTCAGACAAGCCAGAACTAATGATTTTATAGCACGTAAGCTGCTGGAAGGGCTGCCAACACTTGGTGATCGCCTTCAAGCATTGAAGGTTCCTCCATTATTTTTCTTTTGAGTTTATCAAAGTCATATCTCTTATTTCTACTCTACTTACAATCTCAATAATATCATTTTCTTTTGGAATAATAGAGAAAAGAAGAAGATATGCTTGTTCAAAAGAAAATACCCGATGGACAAAAGGAGGAAATGTCACAGGTATGTTCATGTTCAATCATATTTTTGCTTTGTGGTTGATGTGGTTTTTTATTTTTTTCTTGTACTATGGGATGATAGTTGCTACATGATGTCTTATAACTTATGAAATAAGGGTTTGTTTGGTTGGATGGAATAGAGTGATGAAGGAATGGAATAAACAAGATAATGGAATGTGTCATTATATTCAATGATCATGTTTGGTTCACCTGTAGGAATGGAATGAATACTTATGACTTTTTTTTTATATTATATGTAAATAGAAGGCATAGTTATAAAACTATTCTATATATAATTTGACTGTGATTATGTAATCTGTTATTTATAAAACTAATAATTTAAACATAATAAAAGCTCATTAAAACCCAAATAAGATTATAATAATAAAGTATTTTCTAGTTATCTTTATAAAAATAGAATTATATTTTAGTTAAAATCATGAATTTTTGGAAAAAAGATTTGTCATTAAAAATTTATAAATAAAAATGGGTTATATTACGATTTTTCTTTCCATTCCATCATGCCTAAGGAAGGAAAGTAACAAAATAAAAGGAATCGTATTCTTTCAGGAATGGTCCATTCTATTCCAAAACACACAGATTTTATTATTTCAATGGAATGAACCATTCCATTCCATCTTCAATTCTGTCATACTAACCGCCACCTAGTTATTTTTATTAGTGTTTATTACTTTTGGTTTCTGATTGTTCTTTGTACCTTGTTTCTAGAACGAATATAAAAGAGGGATTAGTGGTTGGAACTTCGATCTTGAAGATATGAAAGTTCAAGCTTCCTTGGTATGGTACTTAATATTTATTTTCTGATGAACATTCTCAGCACTATTCTTCATGTAACTCAAAAAAACCTTAAGTAATTCCTCCAAACAATTCAATGATGCGATTTTCTTTATGTAATTAGATCCAGGATGAGGATCCTATACCTGACAAAGACCAATTAGAGAAATCGATTTCTTTCAATGGGACTGGTGCAGGTGAAAGGGAACTTCAGCATCAATTGTCATACATGAGCAGGGCTTTCACATCTACTGATGTAGTATGTCATTTTCCTTTTGACTCTGATGGATAAATTCTATGCTTTAGTCTACTTTTTATAATAAAGATTCAACATATTGCAGGCAGGATCTGTTCCATTTGTCAACTCTATTGCATCATCTTCTATGTAAGTCGACTTCAGTTTAATCAATACCATTTTCAATATCAATATACCTCTCCCTACAAAAATGTGCAATGTACTTCATTTTTTATCCCTAATGGCAACATACTTAACATCTTTTACCCATAATAGCAATGTACTTACATTTCTCTACTGCTAATAGCAATATAGAACCTGAAGCTTGTAAAATACTTACCAGTTTCATTTTATGTATTGCTATTATTTGTAAAGAAATGTAAGTAGATTGCTATTACGTGTAAGTAATTTCTTAGTGCTGTTAAAAAAAAGTAATTCAAAAGTACATTGCTATTAGGGGTAAGGAAATATAAGTACATGGCTATTTTGGGTTTACATATTGCTATTATCTGTAAAAGATCCAAGTATGTTGTTATTATGGGTTAAAACATGTAAGCGCATGTCAATGATGAGTAAAAAATAAAGTACATTGTCTATATTAGTAGAAAGAGCAAAGTATATTACTATTTCCTGCAATTTGCGCTTTTTTTTTTATTTTTTTTTATTTTTATTTTTTATATATGTATCATTTCAATTTCAATGGCCTTACACCTAACTGTTCAGGGGCAAATGCGAGTCTGGAGATATTGCTAGTTCTTCCAATGGACATGTGACATTGCGGACTTGTTCTCTTAATATCAACTCAGATTTTAGTGGAAAAGCCTTAAATGGCGTTGCATCTCTTTCTCAAAAGCGAGTAGCTTCATCTGGATGCATTGCTGCAATGGATGGGTATATATGATGTTTCACTTAGATGACATCAGCTTATATATATCGTGACCTATTTCACCCCTGATAATTATTTTATGAAAATTTCAGGGGCAAGTTACAAGGTCAGACTGCTAACTGCAATGGATCCCATTCACTCCAAATAGCAGATGGGTTGACATCTGAGTCAATCTCCAAAGTTTCTTCAAAAACAACATGTGAGTTTTCAATTTGTTAATTTAATCACACTCAACAGCTTGGTTATTAAGCTTATTTCATTCATTAAGGAAATCGTAATTTGTTTATTAACAATATTGGTGGAACAGTAACTAATGATGAACAAGATGAGAAAGCAAAGTGCCCAGTTGTTCAACAGAAAGGGCGTTTTAAAGTTACCTCTGAGAATGCTGACAATGATAAGGTAATTTTTTTTTTTTTTTTTTTTTTAAGTTGGCATGTGTAACTAACGACCACTATTTCATTGTTAGGTGGTTTCTTCTCCTGGAATGCTAAAGAGTCCGAGCATGAGGGTATTAATACTCTTTTTTCTATTATTTTAGCAGAATCATGTAAAACCTTTTTACATGGAAATAGATGTTTATAACATCAATTATTTATCTCATTTGTGTAGATAATAATCGAACATCCCAATGGTCCTACATCGATGCAGGGTGATGCTACAGATCAAAGGGTATCTGTCAGTAACCATGTAGTAGTTTTATCAAGTTTTTTATTTGTTTGAAAGGAAAAAACAAATGTTTACATGTCATGTCATGTCACTCACTCCTTTCAGAATGGCATTTTGAGTTCCACGAAGCCACTCTCAGTCTCTGCTGATGACATCACTAGACTAGAGAAATCCAAGGTATGTTTCTCTCCCAATCAACTTTTTTTTTCCCTACTTGTTGCTTTGATGCATTTCATTTTTTACGTTTATTTTCTGGCATAGTGTTATATGCAAGCATCATATCATAGGGAATTGCTCAGATGCCATTAGAAATTTGAAAATAAATACTTTGATCTTTGGTAGGCAATAGGCATGGCTATTAATCCTAAACTGTATAATGTATATTTGCTTTACCTCTAGGATCTATTCCAGAAAAGGAAATACAAGGTTATAGATAATACATATAATAAGAAAAGGTAGATGCATTATCTTGAGATCCGGTGAAAGCCAACAAGATTTTGGCTGCTATTATCTTTTTTATTGAAAATAAAGGAAATTCAAAAAATATATATAATACAAAATTGGGTAAGCTTTCGCCTTTCAAGAGGCAACCGTCTGCCTAATGACGTTTAATCAGTCATAATACTCGATCCCTACTTATACAGTTGCTTAATTATTAAAGTACGATTGTGACCTATTATAATTATAGAAATACAATAATTAGCTTATATGATTATGGAAAATAGTACTGTTGTCTATTTTATTAATTAATCTAAAATCTAAATAACTAAACTGTAACATTACTTGAGGCCTCGAGCCTGGAGGTGGTAGGTCCAAAATCAGTCCCATCATGGACTCTTGTTCCAGCTCATCATAATAAGGCCTAATTTTGGGTCTATTACTTGGCCCAACGATATCAATGACACTCCACCAACACTTCTAATTTTTATACATCTTAATATTAATCCAATTCTCTTTCAACTTTTTCAAGTCTTTTTCCAATGCTATGTCATCAAATGCAGGTCTCATTTTTTGCTAAAATAAAAACATATTTATTATTTTAAATTAGTTTATTACATTGATATATTAAATTAAAATTAAAATTGTAAATAGATTAGTAAAAGTATCTTGAATATGAATTTTTATATTTTTATATTTTCTTTCATTAGATTGATAACGCAATGATTAATTTGCAGCTTGATGCAGTGGATGACAGGGAAAAGGAATTACTTAACGAAATAAGTGAATTACAACGGAGGTAGTAGACACATACATACAATACACCTGCTTTTGGTTGGTTGGTAGGTAATAATTAACATGGATCTAATTATAACATCCCACATATATATTTTTTTCTGCATGTAGGCTCTTATGTGCACAGGAGGAGCTCCAGAAATACAAAGCTGGAAATTCCCATGTTAGAAAGTTTATCCCTCATCTAGTTTTTATTCCCTAAATATTAAATTAAAATAAATATGATAGCTAGATATACCATTCCGCATGCTAACTTTTAGCAAGTTGTTCACAGGCATGAGTTTTTTCAAATCTTCAATCGCCACCTAATCACACGGAGCTTTTTTCATCCGAGATTGCGTACCAAATAAAAAGGTTCATATTGGTCAACATGCACATATACGTAATTTTAGTTATTATTCGCTGTGGAATACTTTATGTTTTTCCCCCTTCTGATTTGAAGCTTAACTTCTTTTAAGAGCCAACTGTTTCATTTTTTTTTATTGATTTGGTAACACACTATTTTCTAGTTAGTTAGGTTGTTAAACATGGGAGCTCGGTTATTTGGATTTATTAACATAAAAGTTAAAAGTATATTGATGTAGTTAACGACCTAATTGGCATAGAATTATGAATTATCAGTTTATGTGTATATTGTATATTAAGAGGGTGATTGGGATTGCTTATTTGAAACAACTTATGCTTTTTAAGGGCCTATTAGATTATTTGGTGTCAAAATGGAATTTAAAAAAATTATTTCGTGTTTGGTACCCAAACGTAATAACATGATAATGATAAGTTATTTTTGTGTTTGGTGAAGTCCATTTCTACTTGTAAATATAAAATAATCAATCAATAACTCATTATTTAAGTCGATAAGTAAAGAGGAAACATGTTGTCAAAACCCATTAATGAGTGTGGTTGATAACAAAACTAAAAAAGAAATAATTTATCAAAAACAGGAAGCATGCTGTCAAAAACCCATTAACGAGTGTCTTTGATACCAAAACTAAAAAAGAAATAATTTATCAAAAAGTAATCGATGATTGTCTATCTGTGTTAAAAGTGAATAAACATTTCACATAAGCAATCCCAAACATCTTTTACAAGTTGGGACTAACACATTTGGCTAACAAGATGTGAGTTACGAACAAAAAGGTCGTGGATTCATATACTAATGTAAGCAATGACATGTTAATGAAGGCCATGCTATTGAAGATGACGTGGCCTATTTCATGACCACAAGCTACACTTAAACACTTTAGATGCTGATGTGACATTGTATTTGATGATGTGACATCCACCGTAACCCCATCCATCTGCTTCTATATCTTCCATACCATTGACCTCCACTTCCACCACCACAAGCGTCCCCCTCTTACCACCATCGACCTCCTGTCTTCCAAACCACCACTATCCATCTCTCACCACCACTATTGTTCACCGCCATCCAAAGTAAATTTTGGTAACGTTTTCCTGTCCATTGAATGTATACTCCAGCAAGGTATGAGTTCTCCAATGGGATATACCGGCTATGGAGAGTATTTCATGTATTCCATATGAAGTTTTCTGGGGTGTTTCACGACAACAAAACAATACATCAGATCCATGATTTTACATGCTTAAGATAATCTAATATTGAAGCACCATTGAGAATGGTGGCACTCCTAAGTGCAAAAGGGGCGAGGATTGAGAGACATGCTGCCTAAAACTCACCTCCAAGACTTGAAGCATTGTTCTTATTTTCTTATCAGTTTGATCAATCAAGGGGCGAGAAAGCACAAAATCCTGAACCCATGTGCTCGGTTCTATTGGACCATTCACATTAGACCCGAAGTTCGAATCAAAGGGATGAGGTGCGATTTTCTTAGGGTTGTATTTTTACACACACAACGGAGAGAGAGAGAGAGAGAGAGAGAGAGAGAGAGAGAGAGAGAGAGAGAGTACCTATTTTCTTTTTTTGGCTCTAGAATTAATGGTTTGTAAAAGATGGCTAAGCTCTTTACTTCTTCTGATTAATTACATATTAGTTCTTCTTTGGTACATTGTTTTTAATTGTCCACCTCTCACCACCAAAGACTTCCATTTCTTTTGCTTAGTTCCATCTTATTATTAGTTCTTCTTTTGAAATGAGATGTATGTATGACTTCAAAGAATTGAGATGTATATATGAGTTCAAAGAATCGCTTCTTGAAATTAAAAGAAAAACTCCCAAATCTGAAAACTGTTTCTTGAAATCGAGATCTAGGTCCGAGTTCTCCACAAAAATCCGATGAATAGAGGTCTTCAAAAGATGAAGAGAAGGGTCATTAGGGTTGTTCTTAGTCTGATAAAGATTTAATGAATGCATACGATATTGATGGTGACGTATGGTAGCGATAAGGTAGGGTTGTGGTGATGATCCCCTTGAATCGTCGAGACCATCTTTCACGAACCTGACTTGAAACCCCACATTGAAGTCTCACAACAAGCGTTTGGAATCTACGGTACACATGACATATGCCACATCGGTCTAAACTTTAAAATTTCCATGGTCAAGGTTCACATTGGCTTGATTTATTATGACAACCTGGAAAATACGTCCATAATCGTCGTTAGTACTTAACAATAAAACACGGAAACATAAAAAAGACGGTCCTGTAACCCCCCAATATACTCAAAATCTAAATCTCGTCAACATTTAGATTCAAAAAAATTGTGCACGAAAAATTATGTCCACTTGAAAGCTGGTTTACATTTTTAGAATATACATGTTACCGTGATAAGCCTCGTAAAAATCCGACTAAGTATGAAAGGGATATGACTTTATTTGTAAATGAAAGTCTACCACACATGAGATATTACAACGTCAAAAACTACGAGAAAGGTTGATCTTTTTCAAAAGTCACCAAAAGACGAAACGTAGTACTACTCAAAGTAGGATTTAAGAGACAAAGAACTCCTAAAACCGAAAACGTGTGAAAGACTTAAGATTTTTACGAAATCATAAAAGCACTAGGCGTGGATAACTAGATGTAACACCATTTTGGTGCCACATCACATGTCACATCATCAATGGTGTTATAACATCAAGTGGGGAAATGGTCACCATGTTGTATCTTGTTATGACACCAACTTTTTTTTTTTCCATTTTATAATTTATTTTTTATTTTTTTTCGATTTTTTTTTTTAATTTAGACAAATATTTTTTAAATATAACATAATAAATAAAACATAATGTTTAAAAATT